TGGCCAATATATTGACTCTGTATCCCTTACAAAACTAGTCCTGTTAGAGGGCATACTGATTCTGGTTCTTACAATTCACTTTGAAAGTTATCTTATTCAGTAAGGTAGTTTGCTACCATTAAAAAACATATTTAGAAATCCTCAAAATCCAGCAAGAGGGTTACTGTAATGTTCAAAATTCTGAAACAAAAATATACGGTCACCAAACTAAATTTTTCAACAAAACGAAAAAAATATACATACAGCTGTCACAAAAAATGTTGAATGTTGAATACCATAAGTTATCTATGGAATAATGTGTTTACATGGACACCTATGAAAATGTTTCAAAATGGCCACATTTTGATTATTTTCTTGAAAACACATCCTTCTATCTCCTTAAAAACTTATATGAATATGAATGTCATGCATGTATGTGAATCACAACACAATATTTGAATGATTTACTGTGATCAATTTTTTAAGGTAGCGAACTATATTCATAAGAAATAAAACTTAACGTCTTTGAGTGTTTCTGAGTTAGTTTTCATGTTTCCCACTACATCTGTTTGAAATTAGCTCTCTTGACATCTCAACTACTGGTCACCAGTAGCATAGTGGTTGTAGCATCAGACCCAAATTCAAACCCTACCCTTAGTTGAACATTAAAAAGGGTTGACCTCTACCCTGGGCGAGTGAGTGCGTGACAGTCATACAATGTATCCACATACCAAGTATTGAAAGTAATTGTTGATGGACGATGGACGACAGAAAATCACCTATATGAGCAGCTCGGATGTGTCACCTATTGTAAAAAAAAAAAAAGTCAGAAGAGACAACAGTGACATTAAATGTCCAAGACTGATGCCTGGCACAAAAATAAATTATTAAAAAAAACAGTACAAAAAGCATCAGCTTCATGTCCCATTCAAAAAGGCAAAATACGAAAGCTGCAAGTCTGGTGGACAGACTATACACTTTTTTCTACTGCTGAGTGTGCATTCAACCATGGGAATCAATCCCAGTATCCTTGATCTTCTAACAATTGATCCCCCTCTAAATATTATTATACCGGTATATGTTTATGGTACAATGAATGAATGGAATGATCATGGCATGTAATACATGAACACCAGTGGATAATAATGGGTATATTCCAA